GTTTATTACTTAGTATTCCTCTAAAAATCAGACGTTCGCGCTAACGAACATATTCTAACTTTTAGTACTATAATAATCCACTCATTTCTCGTTACCATGAAGTATCCCACAAATAGCCTAATTTTCGAACATCTTTTCCAATTCTATTAATATCAACTTTCCAGCACGTATGCTGAAATGCTCTGAATCCGAATATGTTCCTGACAAGGCCTAGGTCTTGCCAACAATTCATTCAGAGTAATGACTACTAAACTTAGATAGGATTATGTTCAGAACTTATCCTGCTATTTGCACAACTCCAATACGAAAAAGCGAAATTCCTAATAACTCATCATTGACATAACCAATCTTCTAGAGAGACATTTTCCTTCAGTCTGTTGCACCGTCCTGTTCCGATAAACCAGGTGAAACACGTTGAGATCGAATCTCAACATCCAATAAGTATTTCTATGATTTTCCAAAAGGTACTAGTCACTACGATTTCAATCGTAATGCCACTGATACATTAAACTCGACATCTTTCCATAACTGCCACTGCACTCTTTCGATGTACTCAGACTTATGGAATGTCACTTAATGTACCATGTTTTGAACAAATTTCTCCGAAGAAAAATATTCAAAACTACCTTTTGTCCTAAAGTCATAGAACTTTACAAATTGGATGAACCAACCTTAACATTTATTTGGCTTCTAACCTCGACCTTAAAAAAGGTCATTATTGTGATTTTAGCTACCAAGTATAATTACTTGGTCTGATAGTTTCATCCATTCCCAAAGAACCCATGAATTCAATGTCTATCTACCTTTGAATTCTACTAATACTAAAATCCCAAGCACTAGATGCCAAGTAATGTAATGATTCATTTATTGAAGGACATTTCTTCTCATTGGTTCTAGTCGATGTGTAATTTATTGCACAGTGAAATATTTTGGCTCCTTGAGTTTACAAATTGTCTACCCACGTATCAAATGGATAAAACATCTCGTTTTTACCCATACACAATTTAGAAACTGACCACGAGTTCTTTCTAACACTTGGTACGAAAAGACAATTACTCAAAACCAAAAATTCTATTTAATAGATAACTCCCACTGCAATAGATGCTACTTCCGTAGCTAGCCCATTCTAGATGGTAATTCAACCTTCACATGTCGATTGGTTCACTGAAACCTTTTTACATAATTAGTGGTTACGTATCTACATACCAGGCACTGATAGATAACACCACTTAAAATGCTTCGACTTCCTAGTGAATAAGATTTACCTTTCTTGTATTAAGGATAGGACAGTTCATCTTTCTTTGTCTATTTCGCTTAAACCAGATACACATGCCATTCTGCTTGTATTCTTCAGCAAAACTAGACACTATCCAAGTTCTATTTCTAATCATGTTTGAATAAGTAAATTATCTTTGAGTATTACGGACAACAGATTGAAAAGAAATTTTGAATTCATGGGATCATGCAAACATAGTCTTTAGTCAGTCAAGTGTTTTCGAATCATCAAATATTGATCCCTTCAAAACAACATTTGAACATATTCACCGGCACCTCAAAACACCGAATCCCCGCAGGCCACTGAGTGTGGACGTCTACGGTTCAAACCGTCTCAAGAGGAGGGATAAATCTCATTAGCTTAACGTACTGCCAAGCAATACTTAACTAATAGTCGGTCAAACTTTTGGCCAGCGCAATCAACTTATAAATAAATTTTATAAGAATAAAAACGACCTTTTCCTTTGGGAATATCGTAATTATTTTCACTTTAAGCGTAACCCATTAATTGGTCCTAAGTTTACTACCAAAATTATACGTCCACCTTTGGGTGACCCGTACGCTTTTGAAATAGCTCACTATAACCATCCCGAAGGAGATTCGTCCTTGTGAACTGTGAAATAAAACGTCCTTTGGGCTCGATTTAAATCACTTCACTGACAAACCTATAATGGAGGCCTTGGATGTAATTTATTTCAACCCATTACACACTTAATATAATTTTTAGTTTAAAGGGATTTTCTTAAACATGCTCCTAATAATTCAACTTGCACATTAATACAAGTCTAACGCTCGCCCGACCGAAAACCGCAGCCAACACGACTTCCTCCCCCGGTCGAACGCTGAACCTGCACAAAACTCTCACACCGGAAGTGTTCTCCGGTGAAGAGCCTCCAACGCTCAAGTCGGATCTTGAGAGATAGAAATGTATATCTGGAATTATGAGAAAATCGGAAGTCCCTTAAAAGTGATAATCCTCGTCCCTATTTATAGGGACGAGTTACCTGTTGGCCACGCGCGACTAGGCGAGTCTCGTCCTCCATCCTTTGCTCGTCCGTACGGTCGCGCGTCTCCACTTTCTCTGGTGTCAGAAAACGCATCAGCCGCGCCAGAGAATGTCAGAGTTCGTTATTCCTTGGCCCATTCACACAGCGCCGCGTGTCCCCCTTCCATGTGACGGAGATCCTTTAGCATCTTCTGGCTGTCGACCAGATCCGTCCATGTGTCCTCACGTGTAACTGCTCCGGAGACAAGAGATGATTGGTCCTGTGCCTGTACTCGCTGGAACGTCCCCGCTCGACCAGGTGCTAGAGTTTCTGTAGACCTGTTGGTACTACTCGACCACACCCATACGCTATTCTGTTTGGAGTGTCCTGCGAACCGGTCTAGTATATAATATCCCATATCATCTAGTCCCCCCACTTCGGTCGAGTCTAAATGACTCGATCTAAGAGTAGTCTTTTGTGTCGACGAACCTCATCCTGCTATCTTCGACCATCCGATAAAATTCCCTCGTCGTATCGACCATTGCTTTCCGGCAATCGATTCCGTGTACTTTTCAAATTTTGAATTCTGCCAGTTGTCCGCTTTCTTGGGTGCGTCCTTTCGCCTGTCAGGGGTCATGATGGCCTCGTGACTCGTGCTTCCTCGAATACCGTTCCTGTTCCCCACGTCTTTTCTTTCCCCGCCGTTAGATTACCTGCCTTAATCCTACGGCTCTTGCTCCCTCGTCCGTTCGGCTCCCTCTTCATCGTGGCCGTTAATATTTCCCAATCGGGCGGTCGAGAATGCGCCGCTCCTAATTTCTTCAGTATAAATACCGACCCTCTGACAGAATTCTTCCCCTTCCCTACTTTCACACTCTGAGATATCTGTAATTTTGTCGAACATCCTTGGAATTTCAAGCTCTCCAGTGATTTCCAAATCTCTGACTTCCAGGAAACATAGCGTCATTCGTCATGAGTAAGTTTTCTGTGCTTTTTTCTCGACATATTTTTGCTAGATTTTGAATTTCATCCTCCCGTTCGTCCTCTTCTCGTCCGTTCCTCCTCGCGTTCCATTCTTCTACTCTACCTTTCCACTGTGCCCTGCCTCTCTCTTCCTTCTTTTACCTCCTTTTTTCTTGTTAATTTCGGTTTTAATTTTGTTCTCTTCTTCTCTCTTCTTCTTTTTCCAGATTCCGCCACTTCGAGCGAAAATGACCGGCACAGTGGGGAAGACATGAGCCCCTTTTCCCTTTCCACGACTCCCAGTTTATCCAGCGATTCTGTCCACGATATTCTCCAGCCCGAACCCATCTCAATGATTCGACCTTCCGATTTTGACGATTGCCCCCCTGCGACTGTTGTATCTCCTTCCGCCTACCTTGTCGACCAGCCAGATGAGGAGATTCCTGGTCATCCCCCCTCTACCCTCACGAACTCGTCTCGCCGACTCCTTGGTCAAGATGACGAGGTCGAGGAAGAAGATCCCCAAGACCATATCCCCCTTTCCGCTCGTGATCCCCAAGATTTTGTGTCTCTATCTTCTCGTGTGCCCGGTGCTTCGACCATACCCTCTCCTGCTCAACAACCTAAGCGATCCCGGCCCCGGTCCTCTAAGTCTTCAAAGTCATCCTCGAGCACAACTCGTCTCGACTTTGGTTTGGTTGGTCATCCCGGGACTTACTGCACCCCTGGTGACGATGACACCTACGACGACCCTCCAGAGGGTTACTACACTTTCTACCGGGCCCATTTCGACCTAGGCCTGCGCTTCCCCATCTGCCAGGCTTTGATCGACCTATGTGGATTATATGGTCTTCCCCTCAACCAACTTCCCCCTAACGCCTTTAGGACACTAGCTTGTTTTATTATTTTGTCGATAATCCGTATGGGTAGAGTGGACTTAGATTTTTTCGTTTATTGCTATTTTGCGTCGAAACAAGCTGACGGTCTGTATTTGAAAAGCCGGAATAACGCTTGCTTCATCAGCGACCGACCATCTAACGTCCCAAGGTGGAAAGACGAATTTGTGTACATACTTCCCCCACAACCTTATCCGTGGGCGCCTACCCCTTGGCTTACAGAGGTGCCCATTAAACGCGCTCGTCCTTCGACCAACCCCCTCTTCGACCGCCGTATCCAAGTATGGAACTCTAACCCCGTCGCCTCTACTCCTCTGCTAGAAAATAACAACCTTCTTCATTATTGCGGCATCCTTACCCATAAAACATTCTCTCCTCCTCTGGCCGAAACTATCCTCAACATCCGTGTCGACCCTAACATTGCTGCTATCAATAAAACAGCTCGAGAAGGTGTTCGGATCATCATTATTATGCGCCTTATACTTACTGTGTTTTATGCTATCGACTAATATTTTGATTGATCCATCGTTTGCGCAGAGGGATTTTTGGTCAAACCCGACCTTAAAAAGGCCGGCGGCAGTAGAGCTGGCAACAAAGATGCCTCGACGGTTGCTGAAAAGTCGAGGGGCCTCCCTTCGAACAAAGAAGGTCCTTCTCGAGCTGAGAAGTCCAGCAATCCGTCCCATTCCAACAAACAGCGAGCACCTTCTCCATCTAACCAAATCGACCGCCAGGGCGAGCGCACCTCCGTCCAGTCGACCAAAGAGAAGGAGACCTCCAAGAAGCGTCCGCGCTCTGAGGTGACTGGTCCTCATTCCAGCGGTGCGCCCCCCTCGCCCAGGCGGTCCCAGGTAGAGACACACTCTACCGGGGGGCCGGTCGTTCAACCCAACCCTTCTCTTTCGTTGGTCTCAGCAGGACCCCAAGAAGCCGTTTCACGCTTGATGGGGTTCCTACCATTCAACGACACCCACCGGTGGGGTGTGAATCGCCGATCTCAGGCTGAATACGCTGCCCGTGCCGTGATAAAGGTATACTTCTTTTCCTCATGTGCGTCCTTACATATTTCGCCTTCATACTCTTCCTCACCATTTGCTCGACCACAGACCCTTACTTCCGTTGTACCTCTCCTCGAGGAGACGCTGAACGGTTCTGGTCGTCCAATCCCCGTGCTTGAAGGCGACAACCGGCGCTTAGAAGAAGAGAATAGGCGTCTGAAGGCGGAAAATGAGGATTTGCGCAAAACTCGCCACGAGTTAACTGGCCAGCTGAAGAAGGACGAGCAACGGTACGAGGAAGCGCTGAAAGCCAAGGACCAGCTGCTCGAGGCTGAGAGGTCGATCCGGAAGAAGGAGGTTGAAGCAGCCGCCATTGCCGCCATGGAAAAGTCCCGACGGGCCTTGTGGAGAACCCAACTCGGCCAAGGCTTCCTCAAGGCTTATCGGGAGCAGTTGATCGAGGATTACCTTTGCTCGACCGCCTTCCTCAAGGAGGCCGCCGCAATGGGGATGGATTTCTATACTTACAGTATGGAAGAGGTTAAGCGACAGCTAAAGGAGATGGGGTTCACGGGCGAGCTCGACCAGGACAAGACCTGGGAGGCGATCCCTTCTGCGCCTTCCAACTTCACCGGAGATCCCAGCCTGCCTGCTGAGCATCCTTGGTGGGCAGAATCCTTGGAGTGGTCTTTAACTCGGGATCCCTCCTTGAAGAGCTCCTTTGATGTACCGCGGCCTGGTGAGGCGCCCGTGGTTCGTCTTTCTGTTATCGTTCCCCCGCAACCGTCGACCACCCCTGCTCCTTCGTCCTCTTCTGGTCCATCCTCTTCTGTCGCTGCGCCATCCATTTTCTCAGTCGCTGTCCTTTCCTCGACTATGTCTCTGCAACCTTCGACCACTGCTGCTCTCTTTTCTTCAACAGTTGCTCAGTCGACTAGTGTTGCTAGCTTTTCTTCATCAGTTGCTCGGTCGACCACCGCCGCTGCTGCCATATCTGCAACGGTTGCTCAGTCGACCGCAGTTGCAGTATCAAGCTCGGCAGCTGCATCTTCATCGACATCTTCAGCCCACTCATCTGCTGTCATGCAATCTTCTGTCGCACCTTAGGAATTTGTAATTTTTGTAGAATTAGCTTGTATTCTTTATTTTCGCAATGTAACTTTGTTTGTTTATGCAATGAACGAATTTACTATCTGTGTTTTGTCTCCTGCAATGCTTATTCCTGATGATGTATGTCTTGTTATTTATGTTCTCGATTTGTTGTGTGTATGTGTACCCTGGCCTATTAAGAATCATATGATGCGTTTGTTGGCCCCTGTTTATGTGTGCGTGTATGGGCTTAACGAAACTCAACCAATTCCATGGGAACACTTGTGACCTCATTAAGCCGTGACCACTCTTTTCCTCTCCCTTCCTCTTGCGACGCCCAGCGTAGACGGTTACTCTGATCGACTAACAATGAATATTGTTCCCTTTTTGACCATCTCTAGATCTAGTAACTCACCAATTGCCTAGTCGACCACTGCCTCACATTCTACCACTTCTGCCACTGTCGCGCAGTCCATAGATGCTGCTCCGTCTACCGCCACTCCTTCAAAATAATTTGGGCGTTTGATGATGTGTCTGT